CACTATTTTAATACATTGAAACACTAGAAAGTAAGTTACCAATTTAGGAGAAGGTCACCTTTTTTGGTGGCTAAGTGGCCTATATGTGTCACTCTGGGTAGAGCAGGCTTGGGCTAACAGATCTTGCGTAAAAAAACTCATAAAACAATGGGGTATAAAACGATGAAGATTTATTTATTGCTCACTCTACGTATCTATTGAGGCTGGCTAGGGACGCCCATCCTTATTCTCATTCTCAGATGGAGGCCGAGTCCCCATCTCCGTGGCTGAGAGAGAAGAGAAGAGGGCGGAGCACACACTGTCCAGTGGTGACAGGTATCACTTCCACTCAAATTTTATTGGCCAAGGCTAGTCACATGGCCACCCCTAACCTCCAGCAGCTGTATTCTTAAAGGAGAGACAGCTGAAATGCTTATAAACAGCTCTTTGATGTCCACAGTACATACCTTCAATATTAGAGCCAGAATTCAAGAGACCTTGCTCAGCTGGAGCCACTGAGGAGCACTTAGGAGATAATTAACCGGTCACCTGAAGTGGGGTTGTCTTGTCTCTTCAGTACTGTCTTGTCTAGAGGGGACTGTACCAACCCTCCACTTCCCACTCTCCAGCTTACACACAGTTATAAGCCACAAAAACAGTGTGCTTGTGATGTGGGTGCATCAGCACACGGAGTCCCCCAGCCATCCTTCTGGGCCACCTCTGAGCTTGTCCTGCACAGACATTCGGGAGTGGCCACAAGTCCTTGCTTCCCTTCCTGTGTGTTTTCTGTGCAATGTCCCAGTGTTGGAAGTCATCCTTTAGATTTAATTTCCTTTTTTTTTTTTTTTTTTTTAATAATATACTAGAGGCCTGTCACATGGAATTTGTGTGTGGGTATGGTCCCTAGGTCTGGCCTGCAATCTGGACCATATTCCCCAGATGCTAGCAGCTGTCCCCCCTTCCCCACTTCCCTGCATGTGGGATAACCGGCGGGGCGAGGGCCTTGGCCTGGCTCTGCCCGTGTCCCCCAACGCCCACCCTGGTTCCCCATTCGCTATCGGGTGATTGGAGCGTGCTGGCTGGGGAAGAGACAAGAGGTGGTCAGTGCACCTCATGGTGACTGGTCGTTCTGGTTGTTCTGCCATTAGGGTCAATTTGCATATTATCCTTTTATTATATAGGATTTTTAAAATTGATTTAAGAGAGGGAGGGAGGAAGAAAAAAGAGAGAGACAGAGACAGCGACAGAGAGAGAGAGAAATAGTAACATCATGAAAGAGAATCATTGATTGGCTGCCTCCTGCACGCCCCACACTGGGGATCGAACCCACACCTCGCTCATGTGCCCTGACTGGGAATGGAACTGTGACCCCCTGGTTCATAGGTCAACTCTCAACCACTGCGCCACGCCAGCCAGGCTAGCTTTCATTTTCTTAAGTGAGCACCTGAAGGTTTCTTTCTAGAAAGACAAAGCCCGGTTGGTTGGGACATTGGTCTGTGTGTCCAGCTGACTGCAGGGATGTTGTCCTCACTGGCCAGGGGCTCAGGGACATTCTGTTGTCTTCACCTCCATTCTCTCTGCTCTGCTCTTAGTCTTGGCCTGGCTGTGGGGTGCTTGCTCCCTGCTTGGATCAGAGCCGTTGGGTCTGGGCTTGGGTGGTGGGGGTAACGAGTTCCACTGGGGCCTTAATGATGTTCTTTAAGGCCCCCCCAGGAATTCATATCCACACCAGAGAGCCTCAAGTAGCCAGCAAATTCGGCTACCTGGCATAGAGCCAAGAGTTAGGAAGAAGCCAGAAATATCTCAGAGGACAAGGCGGCTTTCTCTAAACCCAGGCGCTAACCTTGAAGCAGATAGGTCCTTGTGGGCCTGGTGTTCTCAAAGCAGCCACACTCCTGATTAACTTGGTTTTCTGATCCCCTTTGCTTTAAAAAAATGTTTATTTGCCCCCTTTTATTTTATTTTTTCCATCCCCTCAGATTCTCTTCCACCTCCACCCACCCTTCTCGTTCCCACAATCGCCACACTGTGGCCCAGGCCTGTGAGTTCTGTCTCCTTCTTGCTCAGTCCCCCAGTTAGGACTGCTTGCCTGCTCTCTACGAGTCTGCCCCTATCTTGCTTGTTGGTTCGGATTCTTTTACTTTTATAGGTGACAAAATGGTTTGCCTGCAGTCTCAGTGCGGTAAGTGGCAGAACAGGTTCTTAGGAGGCCAGACTTAGTCGGATGTCTGAGACGGTGGCAGAGAGATAAGGGAAAAGATGGAACTGAATGTAACTCTCTTGTTTTTAAAGAACGTAGTAGAGAAATATGCAGCGATTGCAGGACGATCCCCTTCGAAATGGCCACCTTACTTTTCCATCCTAAGGCGCGGGGAGTGTTTGCTGGTCGAGAAGATCCAGTAAGTGGAGCCGTGCTCCCCGGTCCTGCCAGCGAATACGAAGTTCCTGGAGTTCTCGTGGCCGAACATCTCGTTTGGCTGGTTATAAATAGACGCTTATGAAAGAGGTCTTTGCACAAGCGCAGCCTGTGTCATGAGGAGCAAGCGGCCTGGCCCGGGCACGCTCGGGCGGGCGGGGGAGGCTGCAGGAGGACCTCGGAGCAGGGCAGGGCCATCGGGGAACAGCTGCTCACCCTGAGCCTTCCCGTCGGAGCAGCGGCCCCAGCTCTGGACACTCCCCGGGAGCCTCCATCTGTGGGCGCTTTGGTTTCAAAGCACCGGCACGCACACGGTGTCCTCTGCCCAGCACAGTCCCGCGTGCTTGGCAAAGCAGACGTCGGTGTCGTTTCCACCCTCCAGGTGAGGACAGCCAGGCTTAGCGGAGGGCACCCCAGGCCACGGGGCCAGTGAGAAGAGGGTTCAAGCCGCCCCCTAGACCAGGTGCCCGAATCCCCAGGGGCATGGGTAATACCTGTTCTGCTCCTGCCTGGGAGAGCCCCCAGGGGAATGGAAGGAGCTCCCTTCCCTGCTCCGACCAGCGTTCTTTCCCTGGCAGAGAAGCCTAGTGCCACAGGGAGAGAGGAATGCGGAGGGCCAGTCCCAACACGAACCGCTTCGCTCTCAGGCAGAAGAGAGATTTGGGAGGACGTGAGCAGGAGGAACTCTGAGACCTTGGGCAGTATGGAGGCCATGCTTTCTTCCTCCGCTCACTTTGAGCTGCGGCCTTCCTGGGCGGGGGACTGGGCCTAGGCTCCCCCGTCGGGTAGAGGAAACCGGCCTGGGGATGGCACTCACCTCCCCCGGGACCTCCCTGGCCCGGGTGTGCCCTGTGAATGGGAAGCAGGAGGCCGATTGGCTGCTGGCCGTCAGACTCTCCTTCTTGTGCTGGGGGTCAGGGCATCCTCAGGGCGGTTCTAGACCTGCATCTGGTCCTGGTTCATCTCTAGCTATAGCTCAGGGTCCACTCTTAGCCAGTGAGGAGCTACGACCAGCAGGTCTTCCTTTTTCTCACCTGTAACTTAAAGAACCTCACTCATCATTTTAGAGGGGCTGAAATCAAAACAACAAGAAGATTCCATTTGTCACTCGTCCACATGGCAAACCAAAGGAATTTGAGAATATCCAGTTCTGGAAAGAGGTTGGGAGACAGACAGCCCCTCTCAGTGTCCATGGCAGGGCGCACTGACAGAGCATTGGCAGTATCTGTCAAAAGTTACATGCCCAGCAGGCGTGGCTCAGTGGTTGAACATCGACCTATGAACCTGGAGCTCATGGTTCAATTCCTGGTCAGGGCGCATGCTGCTCGGGTTTTGGGCTCGATCCCCAGGGTGGGGTGTGCAGGAGGCAGCCAGTCAATGATTCTCTTTCATCATTCATGTTTCTCTCTCTTTCCCTTCCTTTCTGAAATCAATAAAAATATATATTTTTAAAGTTTCATGTACCGACCCTGCAAGTGCACCCTGAGAAATGCCTGCTGTGGGCCTGCCCACCAAAGCAGCAGGAACTGGTGAATGTTGTGTATAATGGCGCCGGAGCACAGAGCAAGCATTCCGGCCTCGGAACTTGGTTGCCTCTGTCTTAGTCCGTTCGGGCAGCTGTAGCAAAATGCCCACACTGGGGGGCTTATTTGCCAGAGCTCTGGAGGCTGAAGTCTAAGGGCAAGGTGCCAGGGGGCTCACTGAGGAATCTCTTGCAGGTCACAGACCTCTGGTGTCCTACATGGAGGAAGGGGCTGGAGCTCTGTGGGATCCCATTGATAAGGGCACTGATCCCATGCGTGAGGGCTCTGCCTCTAGGACCCAATTCCCTCCCACAGCCCCATGTCCCCAAACGTCACATTATCAACATAGGAATTTGGGGGGGACACAAGCATGCAGACCATGCACCTTCATAAGTGGAAAAAATCAAGTTGCAGGAAAGCAGGGTCCTATGTATTTAAAAAAATTAAATCATATATAATGTATTTAAAAAAATTAAATCATATATAATTAAATCGTATATAACACACACACACACATACATACATACATGCATGCATGTATGTGCTCAGATTTTCATAACTGTTTTTGGTAGGATACACAAGAAAAAAGTAGGGAGGACAAAGGGTTTCAGGTAGGAGGGAAAGCAACTTTTTGCACATTACATTTTCTCTTTACAAAAAAAACCAAGGGTGCATCTGTCAGTGTTGTTATATATTTTTTAAAATATATTTTATTGATTTTTTACAGAGAGGAAGGGAGAGAGATAGAGAGCTAGAAACGTCAATGAGAGAGAAACATTGACCAGCTGCCTCTTGCACACCCCCTACCAGGAATGTGCCTGAAACCAAGGTACATGCCCTTGACAGGAATCGAACCCGGTACCTTTCAGTCCACAGACCGACGCTCTATCACTGAGCCAAATGGTTTTGGCTGTTGTTATATTTTTAATGTTTACATAGGACTACTATGTTAAGTTGGTGAGTCTACTGACCATTTAGCTTAAACAGGTTTTTCCTGTATTTTAAAATTACTTAGTGAGTGACTGCATTTTTTGTTTGTTTGTTTGTTTGTTTGTAATGAAAAGTTGGGATAGGCTCCCACCCGGCTCCCGGTGCTGGTCCCATCCACGTGGTCCTGCCCTGCCCTCCGGGAGTGACAGCAACGGGAGTGGATTGGGGGCTCCTGTCCGAGGGGATGCATGAGACCATGGCTGCCAGTGTAGCACCAGCTGTCCGCGAGTTTTGTGAGGGGACCCCGTGAGACGGCCGACGGGAGTGCCCCTGGCATGCACTTGAACCCTGCGTTGAAAAATAAAATTAAAATAAAATTAAAAAAAAAGAAAAGTTGGGATATAACCCTTGTTAAAAGCCCCTTCCAGATGAGGCATTTCCTGACTGTTTGTTAGGCATGTGCTCAGCTCTGCCTCCCTCTGCAGCGGGTAATGAAACCACGCGCTCTGCCCACAAGGCACTTAGGGCTGGAGCAGGTGATGGCGGACGGCAATAAACACACCTGAGCAGGTCAAGTGCCCAGATCACACCCTTCTCCGCTAGAGGCTGGCCGGTCTTGCTGGGCCAGGACTCATTTCCTTCCCCAGCAGAGGGTCGTGTCTGAGTCTGGGAAGGCCAGAGCCATGGAGAGAAGGGGCCAGTGTTGGGCAGTGTCTGTGCTTAGGGGCCCGGGCAGGTCCCAGCCTAGCCTGGATCCTCCGGAATTCCTGGTTATCAGCACCGCCCGGGGCAGTGTACCATCAGTGAGAACTGGCACATGCTCGGTGCCAGGGGCCGTGGCGATCTTTTTCTGAGTGAGCGTTGTCGTTCCTGGCTTTCTCTACGTATTTTAGAGGAACATTCCGATGTGCCCCTTGCTACCGCCTTCGCTTTTCCCATCATGAAACATTGTGCTCCCTACTAGGAGGCTGTATCTCAGGGGATCTGAGTGGTGGCTGGAAGCCATTGGACTGGGGAAGCCCCCAGAGAAGGGGAAAACTCATACTGGTCCGGGTTCTTGCTCAGCTGCCCAAGCCCCTGGATTTTCTTGCTCATGTTAGAGGGTTTGCTTTCCCTACAGAGGCCGTGTGCCTTGCAAAGTGTCGTGATGGTTGGTTCCTACCTTCGTTACAGCGCTTACCACGCTGTATAGTAGGGGTGTCGAACTCAATAAGAGAAGGGGCCAAAATCTAAAATCCAGCCTAAATCGTGGGCCAAATGGTTTACTGAACAGTCATAAACTGTCATTGTGATGGAAACGCAGCAGAGTGCAGTGATGACAGCGCGGTGCGGGCCACATTGTAAGGCCTGGAGGGACGGATTTGGCCCGCGGGCCTTGTGTTTGACACATGTGCTGTATAGCAACTGCTGTGTGGGTGTGTCCTTCGCTGGCTGTGGCGTCCTGGTGGGCATGGTCTCCATTCATCTCGCTGATCCACATCTCGCTGTGCCTGCAATTGGCCCTTAATTAGGACTCCAAGAATCTTTCCAACACGGGCAGGGTTCATGCTTGTGACCAAAGCAGTTGTCTGCGCAGTCAGGGGGGACGAGCAAGTGACACAAAGAAAACACGTGTCCCCTCCGCTGGAAGAAAAATGAAAAAGAGGAGAAGTAAGTGGAGTTGTTTTGGTTTTAGTTTGGAAAAGTCATATTTGGTAGCAAAATAGCTGCCCCGACGGGGCAGGGTTGAGGGGCACTGAGTGGACTTCCGTCTCAGTTTGCTTTCAGCGGAGTACCTTGTGTGCCTCGGTGGCTGAGTTGTGATGTAGGAAGGGGCAGGTGTGAGAGGAAAAGAGATGAGAAGGAGGGAAGTCAGGGGAAGTGATGGACCAGGCTGGAGCACAGGGTTCTGCTAGAGAGATGGGCCAGGCGTTTGTGGCTGACTTCTCCCTGTGCCTGTGCTCAGCCGTGTTCACACTGGGGCTCATTTGGAGGCAGCTGGTAGAAACTCTGTGTGTGTGTGTGTGTGTGTGTGTGTGTGTGTGAGAGAGAGAGAGAGAGAGAGAGAGAGAGAGAGAGAGAGAGATATGGGTGGTGATATTCCTTATTATAAAAAGGAATAAAGCTAATGCAATGAGGACCACCCAAGTATCCTACCCGAATAATCAGCCTTGTAAAAAGAACACTTCACGAAAACCTAAATCCTGGAATAAGCATTTCTTTCCGATACGATCCAGCATGACTTCCTATAAGCCTACGCCATGTGGACAGCTCCAGCGTGAAGATTTCAATGGAAACAATTCCAAGGGCGTCCTTCGCCCCAGGCGAGGGCACCAGCCAGTCGGTCTTCATCTGCCAGAGGGGATGGAAGTGGTCACTCAGCCCCTCAGGTGATGACCTCTCTGGTTGGGGGTGTTGGATCCCTCTTCACATTCCTGGGAACACTTGGATCTGTGGGTCCCGGGGAGCCCCTTTGCATGTGGCCAGTGGTGGAGAGCCCAGCTGGCATGGGCCTCTGAAGACTTCCTGCCAGATGTTGTGAAGGGTTGAGCTAGAGAGGTGGAGCCACTTGGGAGACTTCTCCGCAAAGGTTTCTGGGAGGAGGGGTCACTCTGGCCCTGAGTTGGTGACGCCAGGATTGCTTCTTGGTCGGCGGGGAGGATGACACCTCTGGGCCGGGGTTCTGAGGAAGGCTGTGTGGATAGACACGTGAGCTGCCTCTGAGCTGCAGGCAGTGCAGGAACACCCGGGTCTGGGCGTGGGGCAGTCTGGGAAGCAGGAAGAAGACAGAGGCATCTCTGTGCCTCCCACCCATGGCACTTCCTCATGTGTTGGTGCCCTGTGTGCACTCCACTGATGGAATCTGAAGACGGATCTGTTTCATTTCACTGCGGGACAGTGGGCAGGGAGCCTCACCCCTGCAGGGTGTACCAGCAAACCATCAGGGAGCCCCCACTTCTTCTGGCAAGGGTGCCTCGTGAGATGGTGTTTAAAAATGCTTGTATTGATTTCAGAGAGAGGACAGGAGAGACGGATAGAAACATCAGTGATGATAGGGACTCATGGATCGGCTGCTTCATGCACACCCCCTCCTGGGGATTGAGCCTGAAACCTGGCATGTGCCTTGACCGGGAATCAACCTTGACCTCCTGGTTCACTGAGCCACGCCGGCCGGGACTGTGCGATGGCTTTTGACGGCATTAGCTGTATTCCTTGACATCCCAGTCTAATGCATTCTTCCTTGGATGCTTTTTCCAGTATTGGGGTCCCCGTGAGGGAGCAAAGGAGGAACTGTCTGCGATCAGGAAAGCTCACCCAAGTGGCCACCCCGCAGGGAGAGGTTTCTCCACGTAAGCACTGAGAAGTGTGGCGGCGTAGTCTCCACGCTCCCTGTCCTGTCGGGAAGCGGTCATGAATGGAAATGTCGATGTGGACAGGGTTATCTCACCAGACGGGAGGCTGATGAGCCAGAGCAGAGGCCCCTGTGGGCAGGGCCTGTCTCTCCTCCTGGGCAGCCCAGGCACTGCTCACGCCAGGTCACCGGCTTCCTGAAAGGACAGGTGTGTTCCTGTATGCCTCCTGAGGTCTTCCAGCCTGGTTCCCAAGCTCTGAAACCCTCTTCCCCCTTCCCTGCTTACCTCACTGTAAATACAGCCCATCTCTGTGTCTGCCCGGCCAGACTGCCGGCCGGGTGCCCGTGCTGGAGGCACCGACTGCAGACATCACGTGTGTGTGTGCTCCCAAGTCCTTTCCTGTGAGCCCTGGAGAAAGGGCTGTGCTTTGGAAAGGATTGGGTTTTTATTGTTATCTTTCATTAGTAAGGCTTGAAGGCCAACAACACCACTCTCAGCATCTGTTTCTGATACACTTTTGTCATTAATATATTTATTATTCAATCACAAGCTAATCCTTCAGTGTTGTGGGCCAGGAGATGGCCTGGCCCCGGCCAACTCACCTTTCTCGTGGGAGAAGACAGGACAGCCAGCAGGCGAGGAGGACCCCTGCTCTGCAGGAGGAAGTAGATAAGCGGGGTGGGGAAGGGCTTGGGGTGCTGGTGTCTGGGGAGAGGTCTCCGAAAGAAGGAAATTTCAGCCAAGACCTGAGGAAAGGGAGGGAGCAGGAGAGAGAGGGCGGGTGGCGTTCCTCACCTGGGAGGGTGGCAGGTGTGCCCACATGATGGGGCCCTGCAGGGGGAACTAGGATGTCCTGTCCCTCCTTGGTTGAGATTTGGTGCCTTTGGTGTGTGGCATATTTGTTGGTGACTCTTTATTTTGAAATAACCATACACTCAGAAATTGCAAAAACAAACCAATAAAAAACAAAGAGTGTAGATAAGACCCCCACCCATTCTTCCTCCAGCTTCCCCACAATGATATCTACCAGGTCATGGACATTGGTGCAATATTGTTCACTAGACTCCAATTAGAAGACTTTAATAGTTATTTACTTACTTATTTATTTACTTGTTTATTTATTTTTAATCCTCACCTGAGGATTCTTTCATTGATTTCTAGGGGGAATGAAAGAGAGAGGGAAAGACAGACAGAAATATTGATGTGAGAGAAACACATCGATTGGTTGCCTCCCACACTATCCCAGGTCGGGAAGGAGCCCACAACCAAGGCACTTGCTCCTTACGGGAATGAAACCTGGGCCGACGCTCTAGCCACTGAGCCAAACCGGCTAGGGCTTCAATAGTATTTGTACGTATTCATTGTATATAGAGGATCTGTGTGTATGTGTGTGTGGTACATTTTTTAACGTGTACATTTTCATCTCTTTTAAACATATTTGTTCAGTGTTTCAGAAACGTCTGATTACTTATTTAATAAACATCAAATGAACACTTACTACGTATCAGTGGGTGTTGGGTAATTGAGGTGCAGGCTGAGGGTGTCGGGGGCTTGGTGGTGGTCTGAGAAAGCTGGCCCATCTGGGAAATGCCAAGGAGAGTGGGGGATGGGGGTGAGCAGGACAGGTGAGCAGGTTGAGCATCTGAGGGGCTGAGTGCCAGGCTGGTGGTTTGGGACTCTGTGCTTCTTGGCAGATTCCTCAATACCTAGCCAAGCTAGGGACTCAGAGCATGACTGTGATCGCCTGAAAACTACTCAATTTATGTTCTCGCTGACCTGTCCGTTTGAGCAATAAAGGCAGTGCCTACTGTGTGCACATCTGGTCTGGGAGGGACGCCTGGATGCAGCCTGACCAGGTCCCTCCTCCAGAGCCCCCTCCATCATCCACTCGGACACACCGTGTTCCCTGGCGCAGCGCCTGAGTGTGCGTGTCACTGATGTG